GAGGTCCCTGGTTCATCTGATCCATCCCCGGGTGTGCTGGCGGGCCACCGGGGTGCCAGTTATCGTTGCCAGAAGAGTTCATGGTCTGTGGCACATGAATAAAATGTTGACAGTACTGATACCTGCTCAGAGCACTAGGCAACTGCAGGTCAAAGTTGAAACAAGGTAGTGGGCCTGCGGATGAGGGTCTCGCACTGTGGTTCCTCTACACACGGCTTGGGGTATCTCTTCCTCGAGCTGGATTTCACAGCGACATCACTGTGCTAGAGATTCTGCCAATAGCAGACGGGAAAAATAGACGCAGGGGGCCACGAAACGACGATCAGCAGGAGCGATGAATAGGATCCGGGGGAGAGGAAAGAGATAGGCAAGCGAAACAAGAGGTGAAGAGCCAGCGAGCAGCAGATCCAGTAGGTGATGATGGTTTGCGCGCAACCGATCACGGATGGTCTCCCGACAGAAGGCGGAGAGGCCTTTGATGGCACTAACCCCTTTCCAGTCAATAGTGCCGCCTCTCGGGTTCATGATTTTCCGGTCGCGACAGTCACTGCAAGCTGATTGGCTCGACAGTGATGCATCCCCGTGGGTGTGGCTCCGACGTCATTGACTGACGGTCTCTTGTCTCTTCTGAGTTCCTAACTCTCGGTAACACAGATTTGGAGACGGTCCGAGTTGAACCTTCGTACTAGCTGCTGAGTGGCAGTTGGGCTGTAGGTTTTTACTCCGCATCAAGGTGTGCTCTACTGTAGATACGTCCGATAGGAACCATAATATCTATGCAAGACATGTCTGTGTAACATTGTGTGGAAATTTTTGAATTCTTGGGGTTGTCTCCGGATTTTCGCCTACATACTTGGCATCGCTCACCCACTATATCATACTAATTACTATTACCGTCTGACCTGCAGTGATAATGGGTACAATACAATAGTAACCAACTTCAATAACTAGATCGCAATAATTATACCAGCCCTAGACTGATCAATGTTCTAGTAATGAATACGAGTAGTACGCACTACCAATATGAATGAAATAACTACTACTAGCAACTAATTCTCAAACTTCCCATAGATTCAGTATCTACTCAGGGGCACTAAGCACTAAGGTAGCATCACCATCGAGTCCGGGCCATTTGAAGTCTTGCTCCACTGGCACCGGATGTGGATTCATCACGCCATAAGCAGTCAAATCGCCCGATGCCTCCCTAATAGCTAGCCGAGACCATGGCCTCGTTGCAGCGGCATATTAGTTGAACAGGCGTCGGGCAGCAAAATGGACCGGATATCCTCTGCAGGCTCCACGTTTGTCTTTCTCTATATCAAGTTCCCACTAAACGCCTCCCCAAAACAAGCACTGAACATCACAATGTTCCTTGAAACAGACAGAATAACACGGACATCTCGTCCCAGGGTGGAGATAGTAAGAAAGATGGGCTAAAGAGAAACGGAGGGACGACGAAGGACTTCACAACCAACTCCAACAGAAAACAGCACAAGAAATGGATGCTTAACCGGAACTGGCAACTTAATTTTGGATTTGCGACTGCTGCTGCTAGGAAACCTTAATTGTCTTATACCTGTCTCATCTTTGAATCACATAATGACATGTTTGTCCATTAGGAATTATGGCCACTTTGTCATATACTTACAACGCAGAGAAGACAAACAGCTGTGTACGCATCAGGGTCAGCATCATGGCCGCATATTATCGAAAGGCGGGGAAAACGTACGTTATTTGTAGCAGCAATGGCAATGCTATCCTCATAAGGATGCCAGCTCATGTGCAGGATCTTCTTGTTAAAGTCGATTTGATCCGCGTCGGTCTCCTTCTTCATGCGCCCGCCCACGCCAACGGGGCTGCCTGCTCTGGACCCATTCTTCTTTCCATTCGCACCCTTGTTCATCGGCGTTGGGACGCCAACCTTCTTCGCCTTGAAAGCAGACTTATCTGCCTGCAGCACGATCTCCGTCTCCTTGCTAGGGTCGGTGGGGTAGATCATGAAGTTGTTGTTGTAACTTCCAGTCATCACGTTCTCTGCGTCGCCCGAGAAAACAACCTCGAACTTGTCGAAAATGCTGTCATTCTCATATGTGTCACACAAACGCGGTCGCAAGTGCTCGTGGATGGGGATCGTTTTGACGGGTTGCTTTTCCATGTTGACATCCCAGATCTTAACAGTCAAGTAATCCCTCGACACAATGTAGCGACCGTCGTGTGAGAACCGGACGTCGGAAATGGATGATATGATCTCTGAAAAGAAGGAACGGGAGGAGGCATCCTCTTCTTGCTCGAAGACTATTCAAACGAAACCATGTCAGAAGAGGGTGTCTTGCAGGCAAAAGGGGAATGATTGCAGAAGATAACATACGTTTGGAATGCTCGTCGCACAATGCTCGCTGCCGCATGTCGGCAAGCTTGATTGTGCCCTTGGAACTGGCGTACATGAACCAGTTGCAACTTTGCGGGTGGAACTCTGCAGCCGTGATGACTTCCGTGAGCTCCTCCATGTTCGCAGGTTTAATGTCCACAATGTTAAAGCTCTGATCCTGGATATTAAGGTTCCAGAGGTTGATCCGAAGATCGTCGCTGCTGATAAACGTCTCGCCGTCACTGTTGACGGAGATGCTGTTGATGTGGTATGCGTGCGCGTTAGCGTACGTCCGCCGAGGTACAGCCGCTACAACAGTGTCATGATGTGTCATGCGCGGCAGCTTCAACATCGAGGGATCCTTGAACGATGCACGGGGCGCACGGGGAGCCCCTCCACCACCGACACCCGCAGGAGTCAGCTCACTCGAGAGGTTGTTCTCTGCGACAACCTTCAATGACTTGTCAAAGACCTTCCAAAGCTTTATCGTCTTATCGTTGGTCGAGAGGAGGAAGTGGGAGGCGTTTGACCGTCTGCACCACTTGATTTTGTTGATCTTCTCTTCGATCTCCAAAGATTTTAAGTAGTCAAACTCCGGCTCGTGCGATTGGAATTCGGTGTGAAATTTATACTCGCAGGTTTTTTTCTGACAGACTGTTAGAAACGTCTGTCCTGAGGACACAAAGAAGGCGAGGGCATTGCTACCGTTTCGTTTCTCTCAAATAACACCACTCGTCCTCCCTTGTCACCCGTAGCTAGGTAGTTTCCGGTGTGGTCAAACTCGACGGTTGAGATGATATCCGCTGGTGAGCGAGCGAGCGAGCAATGTTAGTCGGCTCTGAACGGATATGGTGCGGGGTTGTCGAGCGGGAGCTCGATATTCAGGAATGAGAGGTGTTTGGACATACCTTCCGTGATATCTTCCACATCTCCCTTGTCACCAAAACATCTATATGATGATTAGCAAGAACCGGATACTGCGGGCATGCCATTTCCTCAAGAACAGGCGGGACACAAAAGAACCCCCACAATATGCCGACACCCGCCCGATTCTAACCCCAATATAGAATAAAACACAACAAAGATCGAAATCCGGCGCATCCACCGTTAAAGAACTGGCATCACTGCAGCACAAACATGCAAGGGATCTACTCACTGGGTGAACTTCCAGGTAGGGGTACCTGGTTCCCTGTCTACCATTTTCTTTTGCAATCACCCTTTGTCGGGGTTATCTATCAGCGACCAAGAAAGAAAGGGTCTAGGGGCGCAAATCGAGAATCTCGTTTGCGACGGCTAAGGCGGGGTCTGCAGATAGCGGTCTCGTACTGCGAAGATTCGAGTTGGAGAAACTTTTTTTCACACGACTGTCTAATTTCGTTCGAAGCGAAAAGAGGAGGGGCAGCAGTGGGAATGACGGACAGGCGACGAGGAATCGAGATCGAAGTGAGCCCCAAGTGGAAACAAGGAAGGTCTGGAATATCCGACTAGGGAATGGCAGAGGCGGAGAGGGGGAGGAAGGAAGCAAGGCCGCAACGTCCGACAGCAACGTGAGAGGCGGAGAACCGGGGCTGAGTCACTTGCAGGCTGGAGAAGACGAATGATTGACAGCCAGGAGCTGATCAGGATAAGAAGAAGAGGAGGGTGAGATGAGTGGTGGGGTGGGAGAGAGGAATTTTGTTTTTGGTCTTTTCGGTTTTTAACTCTGAAGTCGGGAACAGACACCCTTCTCTTCTTGAGGATTTAATAGTGGGTGTGTTTGTGTTAGTGTCTAATAATAATGGAAAACCCAAGGACAAGCACAGACCAGCCGTACTAAGAGACGACGGTCGGTTTGAAAGGGTAAAAAAGAAGAGGGGGAGAGGAGGGGAAGGGGGGAAGAGTAGTCGAGGCGGGTAAAGTGGGAGGGAGAAGAGGATGACGATGATGGAGCGAGATGGAGGAGGAAGTGGTGGAGGAGAGAGAACGATGTGGTGGTGGTTGAGGTGAGGCGGTGGTTTGGCAAGACCCGTTCAATCGGTGGTGGGGAGCAAGTGGCTGCCCGTAAACCCACACGCTGCTTCAACCCAACTTAACTCCCTCACTCGCTGCCGGGCGCTGACATCAACCACTGTCCCCTCCATTGCAACCATTGTTGTTTTTTTTTTTATCTACTTACTACCGGCAGCCATTGTAATATGCATGCCACCCTTCTCCGTGAAGAGTCTTCTTCAGGGTTGAAGAAAGGCACCCGAAATCAATTCCATAATTAACCTGGTCTCCCTCTCTTCAGGCATAAGATTGTCCTGGCGGTTGCCTTTCTGCTGATCCAGCATGAAGCTCGCCTAGCAAAGATATACTACTGACTGCTATTGAAGCCAACAAAGGATTGAGGGGCTCACTGGTAGTTGGATCTGGTTTGAACCATATACACAGCAGCCAGAAATGGGACATATATTTTCACATTGAGGAATTAATCATTCTAAGCTCTGCCTCTGCCACTCAATTTTCTTACAAGATCTGGTCTCCAGCGAAGCCGTCGCAGCTTCATGGTGCCGCGTTGCCTGGAATCTCAGGACTCACTCCCGCACCTTTCTGGCCTGAGGTTCTTCACATGCACGACTTCCTACTGATCCCGACTCCCTTGGGCCGAACACTAATCATGGTCGCCCGGAATATCGACGAGAAAACTAGCCTCTCCTATCTTTCCTTTTTCTGCTCTCAATCTAGCATTCTTTTCGAGTTATTCGCATTCCTCTTTCTGTTGTTGGCGACCTAGGACCTACTGGCAGTTGCACTGACTCTCCCCGCCCGCCATGTCCGACAAGAAGAAGCGGGGCAGTGACGACAAGATCGCAAACACTCACCGCAACGAGGCCAATTCTTCCCCAAGTACCAATGAACGCCCGGAAAGTCCTTCTCTAGCTACTCGAATCCAAAACTCAGCTTCGGGGCTTGCAAAGAATGTTTTTTCCGCTCCTGGCTCGTCCGCAGATTCCGCTCAACTGCTGGCTGGCAGCAGTAAGGCCGGCCACTCCTCGTCACACTCGGCGCTAGCAGCAGCCCAGCATTACACAGAAAGTTCTACTACTTCTGCCTCTCCCTCGACTGGGAATTCTTCACTACCTGCCCCTGCTGAAGCATTTCGCTCAGCTACCACCGTGCAACAGGGAGGGTTCCAGCTCCCTCCACTTTCGGAAGATGAATTCCAACGCACTTACGGCGCGGAATCCCTGGTCGGAAACAATGACAGCTTCATTGCAGGTCTAAACGCGGACGAATCTACGGGCAAAGGGAAAGGGAAAGGAAGAGATACTGCAACGAATTTACTCTCCGGCGACTATACTAATCCAGTTTCAACCGAACAACGGTTCCAACCCGACCGACCCTCTCTCCTCCCATCCGACGGTGACGCAGTCGTATCCCTCCTCTCTGATCAGAGCTTCGATCCCGAATTCCCTCCCACGGCCGACGAGCCCGCCGAGATAGTCGAAACAGAGCTGCTTCCAATGCAACTCACACCCGAAGAAAAAGAAATGATCGAGTCCTTCCGTCGTCTTACACCCCCAACATCGTCCACAGCGCTGCCCTCACACGACAATAATATATTGACCTCCCACAGTCTGGTCCCAGACATTGGCGAATTCCTAGACACTGTCCCATCACAAGGCCATTCAGACGTAGCCACCCTGCGGGATACCGTCCTGACCGGTCTCCCGGGCGCAGCGGACTGGCTTAGTGTCGAGGACCGATACCATGACGAGGTCTGGGGCTACCTTCGCCCTACGCTAGAGGCTGCGGCCAAGGAAATGGAATCCAATAAGGACTCCGGAAGCACGGAAGAGGGGCCTGCCGTGCGACGTCTGAAGATGATCTTGAGGCACATGCAGCAATGACCCGGACTTGCCGAGGACTCGGCTTACTCATATTGTTCAATTGTATTATAATGATCGGATAATTGGATCACTGAAGCTAGGATACATTTACATCATTGCTTCTTTCTTCGCTGGTTTCGGATATGTACTGTATTTTACTGGTGTCGTTGCAGCTGTCTATTATCTGCTGCTATCTTTACCTTTAAGTCTTACATATCTGGCAGCGACTATGTCTAAGAACAATTGACTAGGATTGTATCTTACATACTAGACACATAGTGACTCCTGAAAAAGAGCCTATTCATCATCACCAAGGACGTGGATATGAACATGCTCGACAAAACAAACAGGTAAATAAATAAAGAAAATGGGTATGTGATCTCTTCCTGGTTACTTTCTCTTCTCCAACGTATATGTCTCCGATTCTAAATTTTCACGGGGTTTTTACAGCTCTAGGCTAGGGGTCTGGCCCTTGACACGGCCGATCACAATGTGACCAGCGTACTTGGGGATGACCTCGTCGTCGTGGAGCATTGCGAACTCTGTGATTGGGGATTGAAGTTAGTATATATATATTCTGGAGATGAGACAAAGTTGGGGAAGACATACCTTCTGTGGCATCGCGACCCATGAAGTTGAAGAGAGCGTTAGCTCCACCGGGGTGCTCATCGAGCCAGTTGGTCACGTCCAGCACGACACCCTTGACGGCAATCCACAGGTCGTCCTTCTTGTTGTGCTTGGCGATCTCCTCCATGGAGTATTCCTTCTCGGGAATGCTGAACTTGGCGGGCTCCTTGGGCTTGGCTGTCTCAGCGGCACCGGCAGGGGTGGCTGCCGACTTGGCGCCCTGGGCCGCGGCAGCTGGGGTTCCAGCACCGGCGGCGATCTGGCCACCAGCGGCGCCGGAGCCGCCCCATTCAACGGAGATCTTGCCGGGGGTGGACGGGTCGATGTGCAGGGAGATCTGGCCCAGTCGCTGGGCGGCCGTGGAGGCACCGCCGGAAAGCAGCTTCTGGAAGAGGTACTGGCTAGCGCTGTCACCCGCAACGCGACCGTATACAACACAACCCAGCAGAGAAGAACCACCCAGACGGTTAGCACCGTGGACACCACCAGCCAGCTCACCACAAGCGTAGAGGCCGTCGAAGGCTTCCTTCTCGGAGTTGAGAACCTGGGCGTGCTCGTTGATCTCAATACCACCCATGGTGAAGTGCAGAACAGGCTCCATCAGAGCCACGTGGAAGTCGTCATCGATGCTGAAGGGCAGGTTGTGGAAGAAACGCTTGTTCCAAGGGTCCTTCTTTTTGCCCTCGGCGATCAGGTTGTAGTCGTCGAAAGTCTTCTTGAGGGCTGCCTCGCCGCAACCGATCTCCTTGGCGAGCTCCTTGCCGGTCATCTTCTTCATCAGACCACGGCCAGAGTAGTGGCGGGTGTGGAAGTCCAGGACATTGGATGCCTTGCTGTTGAGGATGAGACGGATGGGCCACTTGCCCTTCTCCTTCTCCTTCCACATCTGTCCCGAGACGTAGTCACGGTGGCCCAGTTCATCCGAGAACCGCTGGCCGTCCGAGTTGAGAAGGAGACCACCCTCACCACGCAGGGCTTCAGCAGCCAGGAACTTGAATTTGGCGGTCGGGTCCTTAGGGTCGACGAGACCTGTGGGGTGCACCTGAACCTTGTCCATGTCGATGCCGTTGGCACCGATCTCCATCAGCATCTTCTGACCATCACCAGTGGCGTGAGTGCCGTTGGTGCTGGACAGACCGAAGGTGTCGGGGCGGTGCTGCTTCAGGAGAGAGCCATCGCCGAAGTCAGCAGCGTAACCACCAGTGGCCAGAACGACCACACCATCAGCAGTATGCGTCTCGCCATCGTACTCGTACGTAACACCCGTCACATTGTTTCCGGACTTGTTGATGGAGGTCACACGAGCCTTCTTGATGATCTGAACACGGTCGGGCTCAGACTCGGTGAGCTCTTCTAACCGTTGCATGAGGGCGTATGTGATGGCCATTCCAGGGAACTTGGCATCGTGGCCACGATGCGTACGGGGCTGGGAGTGACCGCTGCACGAATTAGCATGGGTTGCGCGACAGACGCTGTAGTGACATTTAGAGCGCAATGCTTACCCTAGCCGGGAAACAAGGGTGAGATCGAGGTTGAAAACATCCTGCAACCACTCGACGGCAGCAGCGGACTTGTATGTGAGGACCTTGATCAGCTCGGGACGAGCCTTGTCTCTAGCAGATTTGAGGGTATCATCGTAAAATTGCTTGACGCTGTCGGCGATGCCCAAGTCGACCTGGGTACGCGTCAGGGCACCGTTGATGCCGGAAGTGGCCTTGGTGGAGTTGCCACCGAAGAAGGCTGTCTGGAGTTAGTTTCCAGACGATAATACCAAACGATAATGATGCGAATGCAATTATCGCCGGGAGCTACGGCTTGTCGACATACCCTGCTTGTCTAGAACGAGAACATTTCCACCGTTAAGGTAGACGGTGTGGGCGGCACTAAGCCCGGACACTGAGAGACGAGACAATGGTCAGCAATGCGGGGAAAGCTGTTTCCTGGCGGTGAAGATCAACTCACGTCCACCGCCAACAACGATTACTCTAGGGGCGGTTGCCATCGTGTGGGAGGAAGATGTAGAGGGAAGGGAGAGAAGGATGAGAAGAGAGATTCAAAGATGAATGAGGGAGAGATGAGAAGAGGAGTTTAAAGGGTCGAAAAGCAGGTAGGAACAAGTAGATCTTTAAGCACCAGGAGATCCGGGGGAAGAAGAGTAGAGCCAGGCATTCAGAAGCCGACGGGGGAGAGACTCGCTCACTCGGCCGAGGCTCATTTCTTCCCCATTCAATTCATTCAACTCGGGTATGTACCGTACGATTACCGTTCTATGACCCCCTCCTCCCTCCTCTCCCTTTTCCGGTCCGGTATCTTCTCTTCTACTTTTGAGGGGATCAACGAATGTTCAGCCTGTCTTAAGTGGATTCGATGGGTCCTTCTTTTGTCTGACTCTGGCCTGTGCTTCTTGACTGACTGAATGACGGGTTCTACTTAGTATAGGTACTACAGTCGAGAGTTATCAATAGGCAGTAGACATTCAAAAAATCCTCCCCTGTCGTTGACAGAATACTAGTGAGTTTCCAGCAGACCAGGGGTCCATCACATGCAGAGCGTCACCAGGAGCTGCAAGCTGACCCTGCGGTTCCTTCCCATGACATATTATACTATAAGCATACCTGAGGGCAACAGAGAGACTCCCAGGCTTTCACATGCCTGGAAACCCCAGCAGCAGCCTTTCAGCAAATGAAATCGTAGGCTTAAGTCAGCGCGGCACGTCATGCTCTTCGATTTAAACTCTGTCCCCAGATTCAGATTCGTCTCAATTTTGGGGTTACCTAGATGATGGGGATGTCTGCTCCATCTAGATTTCATGAATGAGATGTCTATTTAGTGAAGTGAAGGTAGCTTTTCATCTAAAGCTTAGATAGTACCTGGAACTGGTTGATCTCACATTATATATATATACATTCACTACAACAACAAATACAAACACTATCAATAAGGACTATCATATCTATTCAATACCCCTTATTTAAGTATCCGAATTACCCCATACATACATACACACAAAGACAGGGACCCTGAAGAATGGCAACAAAACTTCAATACATCCAATACCTCCCCCCCAGACCTCGATCACTTACCTCGGACCGAGACCCCATCATCATCACCGATCACCTTGAACAAAATCAGCCCATACCTCAACTCACCACAACACCACTAACTAAATTAAATCCTTGAAGATACACATTCAAAACCCAACTTAAAACATACTGAAAACAATAAAGCCCCAGCATACAATACATAAATACAAAACGTACATACCAATCCCCCCAACAACCGATCCTTCCCACGTCACCTGACCCCGGCAATTGACCACCACCTGAAAACAAGCATTCCCACCAATCAGCATGCCGTGATTGAATTCCGACTCTCACTAATGACGTAAAGCGGTCGTTTAATGAACTTTCCTTTTCGGGAAGGTTCGATTGCCGCCGCCCTTTCGTCCATTCATTATCTAGGAGTCTGCACTCACTGCATTCTGCAGAATAAATGACGCCGCATTTTGTTTGCTGTCTACCGCCTAAATAAATTAGATCTAAGATTTGTTTTCTTAGCGTCGTATCGATGTATGTATGGACCTGGTCAGTACGGGGTTGACGGTGATGACGGACGGGCGAGAGAGTGTGAAGAGTTCGGGAAAAGATAGCCCGAGAGATTCAGTAGCTCTGAGCTTGAATACTCTCGGAGTTATTGGCAACTAGATACACCGAAGGAATGGATTTTCGGGTTTGCTTTTGCGCAGAGAGGAAGATGGATTATGTATTCTCAGATGGTCTTGTCAATTTCATTGGTGCAGTGTAACTATTAGTATGGAATTGTATCAGTAGCCATTCATAGCAATCTAGACATACTGCCCCGAAGAAAGCGGAAGTCCGCAACACAATCTGTCCATATCCTGTCCGAATTATCTATTTTACATACTGTATTCTTCTCAACTAGCTAGACACCTCTGCTGTCCCTTGATCATGCATGCCACTCGAGTTCTCAAGCTTCGCATTGTAATGCGCTACCACGCGATCTGCAGCCATAATCGCCAGCCCTCCAACTGTTCGCGATTTGGCAGTCTCAGTGACACTGACCTCGAGATTCATGTTCGCAGTACCCAGCTCTTAATCTCGAGTTAAGCAAGGGAATCAATCGGCATCTTGATTTCCTGTCTCTTGTCGAGATTTTGACATCCGATTCGAGACGAGGAAACCAAGCGAACAGTTACTTGTATAACAAGGTTGCGAGATTCTTCTGTGAGCATGATGTTTGGATCTCTGAGAATATTGCTAATTATTCCACCTGGTACCTGCTCGGAAGTGGAATCAACGTTTGCGTAAGGTGCGAATCGAGCGTCCTGGCTATGCCGTAAGAGTCGGACTGATGCATCAGAAAGGGGTCGTGTATATCCAAGTTATCGGATCACGGGATCGCATGATACATATCTCCAGCACTTTCAATACCTCGTCTTCAATCAGAAGTCATGTGCCAACAGCGTGCATTGACAGTAGAAGTTTTGGTTGTCGGCTGATCAGGCCAACTTCGCCAACGGCTCCAAGTACCAGAGCTGAAGAAGGCAGACCAAGCTGGCGACGATATCGTGAAAAACCTTCAAGAAATTTGGTTGCTGCTGCGTAGTTGGTCTGGACGGCGTGGCCACAAATGCAGAGCCAAGTTAAACGAAGATGTCCAAGTCCTTAATTGAGACTTTATCGTGTAGGGTCCATGTGTCCTGGACCTTGGACCATTGATGCCTGCCAATCCTCGTAGCTCATTCCGGTAGGGATGCCATCCTCATAAAGTATCAGTGAGCCTGCCAGACAATCGCTTTGATGGCTTATGCTCACCTTTTAGCCTAGCGACATTTGCAAGACCCCCTTCAAAGGCCGCTTGCAATTGGAAACGGCGCTTCGCACGTATGTAGGGCTTGCCACAATGCCTCTGACACATTGCACATGGCACCCTGCAGCCTCAAGCTTGCATATAAGCTCCTTATCATTTTTCGGTACTCCTGCGTTTCAAGCAAGAAACACTAGGTGACGCGCCCCTCTCTCTATCATCAATATGGACACTGCTCGCCCACTTTTCCGAGCCCACCCACCAGAAGATAGGATGCATTTGGCTGGAATGACACCAACCTCTCTATTTCGAGTTTGATTACTGACAAGAGCCATCTTGCAGAGTGAACGAGGACGGTCTATGTACTATTTACAGGTAGTTGTATAACCCAGGATAAGATCAGGTCATACCTGGTCCTTCTGTACATGTCAGACGTAAACCAGCGAGTAAATTGCTGTCAAGTACGCCAGCGCCATGCCTGCTGCATCTCTTATCAAGAGCCTGCTGAAAAGCTTTCTACAGTGTTTCTTATCGACCACAAAATGGGTACGAAGGACTCCAGACTCACCACTGACATTTCATCACCGGCCACGAGGTTGCTGACATGCTTGCCAGCTTGCCGAACAGATCCTCTTCCCTCTAGGCCCAGCTCATTTGTGCTTCCAACATATCTCACAGCGGCCAGGACATCCTATAACTGTTAATTATATGCCAGAGGTGTACACGCTGAGGAGCACAAACCCTGTAGCTTAAACCAACATACTGAAGATGAACCTCAACTTCATCATCATCATCATCATCATCATCATCATCCAGGCCCACTCCACAAGATTCCATCCACTTCAGACTCTAAAGCAGACCAGCTTTGCCAACATGTATCTTCTTGGGGATATATTCCTTCGACTCTGGGATGTTCTGACCATCAAGAGGCCAATAGAATTGACTGGTGTATATAGTATCATCATGGAGGCATACTGATCCGCCGCCTCTTGGGACCGTAATATCTTTTCAACAACTCTCTTAATCGCATCTGCAGCATCTTGCTCAAATGAATCGGCCTCGAGTATGCATATATCAATTATCAGCTCTTGCATCACTGATCGCACCCAACACTGTGTCAGACCGAAGTTTGGGTCTTCGCAAGTGACTTGCGTACTCTCTGTAACCCATTCCTTGACACACTGGCTGATCTGTGCTTGAGACTTCCTCAAAGCTTGGAAATTATTCGCTGTCAATTGACAAGGAACGGGACCTCCTGGTCACGCAAGACTATAATGCACTTCTTCTCAGTAGGCGGATCAGCCAGGGTAGTCCCTTTCCACCATATATCCTAGGTCTGTAAGCTTAGAATGAACAGTATCGCCCAAATACCTGAAGACCGCCGGTTGGCAATCAAAATCGAAATAGATGACTTGATTGTTGAGCTGGGCATAAGCATCGTGATCTTGGTTGCTGAAGATTGGTAAGGCGCATCAAAGTCATATCGTATTACCTCAATCCCAGTGAAGCCAGTACTCTGTAGCTCTTGGCTCCATATATCTGGGCCAATGTAAGGCCCGTCGCGCCGTTTGTCCTTCCTACCTACCCCACCACGTAGGTAATGCTCCCTGTCAACATGAGTCAGAAGATGCACATATGCATACGATAACCTGTCAACGCGCTAATAAGCGGACCCAACCGAAATATCGCGTTTATCTGATCAACAGACGGAGAGACATGGCTCAACACGTTTCCCTCGAACCGGACGCTGCGAAGATATGCAACCTACTTTGTTATGTAGGCGTATGTACAGAGCCAGATTGTAGCTGTTTTTAGCAACTCTATGTAACAATGGCGAAAAAGAATACTCACGTTATAATTCCGACTGATGGCAAAGGGTGACGTTCACATCGTTCTTCATATGCACACAACATGGAGCGGCCTGCGAAATTCCCATTAATCAATAACAGATGGATCAGTATGGTCAGCAAACACAGAAGATGAGAGGTCCATCCTCGAACTGTTCCAATATCCCGTTCGACGCTGTATTTGCCAGTGTTTGGCTGCTGAGGTTTAGTTAATGGAGAACAAGTTGAATTTGAGGTTCACAAAGCAAACCTCTTGGCAGTACGTGGCACATGGTCAAAAGCCCACCCAGGTAGTATTTGTGCGACTTATTGGTGGCCTCGTATATCAGTTCAACCAGAGAAATTGTTTCCTTGTTAAGGGATAAGTCTGTATATCTGAGAGGTATATGTGAGTGAGAGTATGTGGGCACTAGTGATCTTTGCAGTGGCAATGGCGGCCATGTCAATAGAGTATGAGATCTTGGAGAATCATCCGAAATTGGGTAGATGTAGTTGAAGGTAGAGAACTCCAGGGCCTTTCAATTCCCATGTATTGCCTTCAAGGCAGCAAATGTCATAATGTCTTACATGCTAGCTTAAATTCATTTTTGTACGTAGATGAATGCTCTGTAGTTTCAATTAATCCATCCACGTCACACTCTTGGTAACCAAGAACTCCTCCAGTCCCTGGGATGCATTGAACCGTCCCCAACCACTGTTCTTGACTCCACCGTGCGGCAGGACAGCTTCGTCGTGAATGGTCATACTGTTGATGTGGACAGCACTGCAAAATATCAGTTACTTCCTCTACTCACAAGAGACAGACACATAGAGGAGTGATGGCTTACCCTGACTGGATCTTGCGTGCCATCGCCAGGCCCTTTCGCAGATCCTCGGTGAAGACGGCCGCGGACAAACCATAGCCACTACTATTGGCGATCTTGATTGCCTCTTCATCGCTCTCAACAATCATGCATGCTGCCAAGGAGGCAAAGGCCTCTTCTTGCCAAGCGTTCATCTTTTCATTGACGCCGCCGAGGAGCACAGGCGCCATCCGAACACCATTGTCTGACTGAGCGGACTCCTGGTCTACCGATCCGTGGATCAAGTGGGCCCCACCTGCCAATGCATCCTTGACGAGCTTGTTAACTCGTGCTTTTGAAGCCATGTTCACCAAAGTCGGAGGCTGAGACGCAGGGTCCACGCCGGAGGTGAGTGCTTCCTTAAGCGCCTCAATGAAGACGGGTGCAATGGAGGAGTGAACAAGAATGCGATCAGTTGCCATGCAGATTTGGCCAGACTATTCAATATCAGTCATCAAAACCGAGAATAAGGCGGCAAAGAAAGACCGTGAAAGCGAGTCACCTACGTTCAGATAAGCGCCCCCAACTACTCCCTTCACAGCCGTCTTGATATCAGCGTCCGCACAGACGATGGCGCTGTTCTTGCCTCCCAATTCCATCAAGCATGGCTTGAGGTTCTGGCCACAAGCTCCCGCGATCTTTCTGCCTACGGCCGTACTGCCTGTGAAGTTAATCTTGCGCACGGCAGGGTGCTCAATCATAGCGTTGACCACTTCGGGGGCATCCTGGGGTCGACACGACACCAGGTTCAGACAACCAGCAGGTAGACCTGCATCGTGGAAAGCGCGCGCAAGTGCCCAGTACGAGCAAGGAGAGAGCTCAGAGGATTTCAGGATAGTTGTGTTGCCCGCCGCAAGTGCACAGGCTGCAGAACGGACGCCAAAAACATATGGAGCATTCCTGCTAAGTCAGTCGCCAATTCACATGTATGCATGGTTTCGGACATACCAGGGCACAATCCCGAGGATCACCCCCATAGGCTCCTTGTAGATCATGGCACTTTGCCCCTCCTCTTCGACAACGGGGACGCTGCCACAAATGGAAGTGATGCGCCCCGCGATATCCCTCAACATGCGGATCCCGAGTGGAACGATAAAATGCTGTGACGCACCCACATCGGCGCCCATCTCAGTTCGCATATATTCGGCATTCTGCTCGAGGCGGCTCTCCAAAATGTCGGCTGCCTTCAACAGGATATCACGCCGAACTGTGGGTTTTGTTTGCGACCAGGAAGGAAAAGCTGCCTCTGCGGCCTCAACTGCGCGGATTGCATCTTGAGCCGAGGCTGATGCTGTTGTCCAACAAGTCTGGTTGGTGTATGGGCTAATGACGTCGAAGGTAGAGCCCGTGCATTCCTCTTGACCGTTGATGATCAAAGGGATCACCGGAGGGCGGGGAGGTGCAGTCATGGTAGGGTCTGTAAAAGTATGGGCGCGGGTAGAAACAAACGATAGTATGTGTTCACGAACGAAACACTCAGGCAATAGGGGTATCGCGCCAGGGGTTATCAAACGGAATTAATAGGCAAGACGTAAATTCAGGGACTGAACCATGATCGGAGACCCTGCATCTGGTGGGAGTCGGCCGAGGAGTCAATTGATTACACAAACAAAGCCAACTATCCAAACATGACCCCACCTTTCCAGCTCGGCGGGGGGTTAGTCTCCCTCCAGCCACGTGTGAACTGTCTGAGGATTGATCCCAGGATCAATGCATTCTCCGTAAAGTCAAAATCACTATCCTATACACAAGTGAAACTCGCTACGTTGAGGGCGTGCCACCATTTCCAGTGATGGTGAAGGACATAAAACTTGGAAGGAGACCGATTTCCAGACAGGGGTTATACTTTACGGTCTCATGCCACGGCAAGTTCAAATTCACTAGTTACTACTACTAGCTACTCCATACTCCATACTCCATACCCCTGGTGTTTTACTGGACTGTGGCTGGCTACCCGATATGAGAAGTAGACAACTAATAATGCTAAGACTCGTCTCACTACATTTATAGTCGATCAATGTTATGCATGCGTGCTGCACACGAACAGGGATTGAACCTTGTTGATACTGGGCCAGTTAAGGTGGCCCTCCAATCCACTTCAAGAAACCATTGAGGAAACTATTCCAATAGCCGCAACTTTATGCATTGCAAGCCATGTGCTCGCTGACGTGAACGACTCAAGACTGTTGCCTTCCACGTACCCTTCCCCTGAACCGCCGAGGTTGATCGTTGAGTTTAGGTAACGCTCGGCCCTTTTGGGAACCGACGGCTGTCGATCAGGGAAGCCACCCGTGGTTCGGCTAATAGAAGCATTTGGATCAAACAGACATGGAACGGAAAGAGAAGCGGGAAGAAAGCTGAAAGAAAGGCAAGTTAAACGACACCCGTACGCTGCTTAACTGGATTAACTACACCTAAATTGCTGTTCTGGATGAAGACCAGTGTGTGTTCTACATGCCTCATTGCGAGTCAGGAATTACCACCTCATTCTGCGCGGTGGAGCGGCTGGGACAGTCCGGCTGATTACTGCGAGGAGAGAAAATTTCTGAACGACTTCAAATATGCAGGGTCGTCTATGATTGGAGGAGTTGAAACCACAGTTCTCCAGTTTCAAGGAGCACGGAGCTGAATATACCCATCTGAATTTCTTAGGGTTCCCGATAGGCGCTTCTATACCCACTCCCTCCTCGTCAGCCATCGCCTGATCCGCTTTTGCGGAAACACGGAATGCGCACCCAACAGTAAGTGCACTTGAATACGCGATCGCCCTGAGTAACTTGTTCTATACTGCAGATTGTCGGATGAAGAAGACATTGCAGATCAGCCAATTCAATAGCAGAAGATTAGACTTCTAATTCCCCAAACCTGGGGAGGTTTTTAGACGATCTGCTATCAACGTGATGGGAAGTGAAACACTCGGCCGCTATCACCGCCCATTGCGTATGCTCGCCACGATTAACACATTTGGAGCCAGGGCTCCTAGGCCGTGGATCCCGAGATCCGGATACTGTGGTGCAAAGTGCGAGTGAACTAGCTGAAGAGTGGATTGAGGTTTATATTAATTGATATTACGCTGGAAATTACTTTGCATGACCCTGATGAATTGGGTTTGAAGCATAAGCCAGGAATTGCTATACGTAAGTCGCCAACCGAAATACTTTTATCTATACTATCCGGCCTACCAGGGTTACTGGCTGCACATCTAATGATGGCTTGTCCCTTGCCACGAGGGTGGTCTGCTCTTCAACAACAGAGTGGACACACTGGGACCAGTTCGACTCAAGTCATACGACCGGCTCCACTTGCTTAGCACACCATGGGAACTATGAGCGTGCACTGGTGAATAATTTTCAATTGCGTTTCAAATGAATCAAAAATCCAGTTTGTGGACTGTGCAGTTAAAATTCGCACCCACAAATAAGAGGGCTCGATTTTAAGCTCGCAAGATGAGGGTCCTTTGTCTCCCTGCTCTATGGGCGCGCCGAGTATCCTCATACGGAAGAGGGACCCATATCTAGATCTCCCACTTTTCGTTGCGATCGAGCGTTCGAGGTATGTCCTTGGTCCACTCGATACATATTCAATAAGCTTCCACCTTATTTTGTAGTTCTGTCTTCTTTCCCCCCAGTCTACATAGTCCATGCTTCGGCATATACTCGGGGGTTCCTTCGTTATATCTCAGCACACTCCTCGTCTTACTTGCATATCTATTATCAAGACCCTTTTCTATATCCACCGTCCAAATGGACCACGAAGCGTAATAATCGCAGGCATCAACTTGCTTACTCTCGCTCAATTAAACACTCATTCATATTCATCCTGCCAGTTCTAAAACCGTCATTCCCAGTAACAAAGCATCCAACATGGCTCCCACATCGAGGGGAGCTGAAATGATAAGCATCGTTACAGTGCTTGTTAGTCTCGCATTTCTAGCAGTCATTTTACGCATAGTTGCCCGATTCAAACGCAAAGTACATTTCGGCGTGGACGACTACCTTTGCTTTGCATGCATGCTCCTGCTCATTGGCATGCTCATTGAATTGTCTCTTTGTGGGTTATCCTAAAGATTATTCAATAATTTAGAGTATTCAACCTTGCTAATAATCAACCCAAGGGGTCACCATCGGCGGCAACGGATCTCATCAAAGCAACTTAAGCAGCGAAACAATGATGAACTTCTACAAGGTACTAACCACCCCTTCCCACGACACCCAATCTTTACCAACGAACCACTCCAGATCTTCCTCGCCAACCAATTCACCTACTTCTCCCTCTGTCCCCTCATCAAAGTCTCAATCGTTTGCTTCTACCGCCGCATTTTCACCACCCGAACCTTCCAATGGACCTCCTTCAGCATCAACGCCCTCATAATCCTCTGGGGTCTGGGCGTCTTCCTAGCCTGCGCTCTCCAATGCCGCCCCCTAAGAGCCTACTGGGACCAAAGCGTCGACGGCCAATGCATAGACGGCTACACCCTGATCGTCGTCAACCAGATATTCAACGTGGTCATGGATTTCGTCCTCCTCGCCCTCCCCATCCCCCTCATTTGGGGTCTCCACCGCGCCTGGCAAGACAAACTCGCCATCAACGGCGTCTTCGCTCTCGGTGGCTTTGTTTGCTTCGCGAGTATATTCCGCGTTGTGGTCCTCTTCTGGATCAAGGATTCAGACATGACGTATACCGTCTATCAAGCTACGCTTTGGACGCATATTGAGCCATCTATTGGGCTTATCTGTTCTTGTTTGCCGACTATTCGAGGCTTGTTTCCGAGAGGAAAGCTGTCGAGCAATAAATATCATAAATATCAGAATGAGGTCCCATATTATGGGAATACGGATGTCAGCACCTCGAACTTTGTGGCTACGGGCCGCAAGACGCCCACTGCGGAGTCTATTAAGTTGGAGGATGGTGCCCCGAGAAGGTCGAATTCGAGCGAAGGCGGGCTGCCGTCTAGTGTAAAGAGCAATGATACTAGCTGGTTGGATATTACAGTCCGCACGGAGATTGATGTCAGGCAAGATGATCTGCCGCGGTATTTCAGATGAGGGAGACTGAGCTCTGAGAGCATGGATTTACATGTTTTCATATTTCGTCTCAGCTTATACGCCAACTGAGCTTGGTACTCTTGTGGCGAGCATTTCCCTCATGAGTGACGATGTTGGGATGCTTTACGTCCTTTCTGAGCTTCGATTCTATGCCTGAAACGGTACAGACCTGTCCGCATAGCAGTGTTGCGCACTGCTTGGATACCAGTGTGGCTATATGGCAGCTGTATCTCTGCGCGTGTGCATCCTACTACCTGCCACAGCAGATAAGATTTGTTTCTCTGCATACACACAGGGGGACACTTTGGCATCCCGTGGGTACACAGACTTGGATGCTACTTTGGCTTGAGATATGGCCAACTTACTTTATCGGGGTATCTCCACGCACTGCCCTCGATACAGAAATACAGCTCCTGATCTTCACCCACGTACATTGGACGCACGATATGACATACGCTTCTAATCACCATCACTCACATGGTATCATTTATCATGCATTCTGCGCAACTTATTCTCGTTACGCCTGTGAAACAAACATGTCGCTAGCTAATTTCCGATTCATGGTGTATCGTTCCATATCCTCAATGCACTGCTGGCTGTCCAGCTGCGAATTCCTACTCTTATGTTAGCTCACTGTAGACCACAATTGTACTGAAATGATAGTACTCACTGGAAACGCATTGGTAATGCTGGTAGCCACTCTCTCCACGTCCTCGGCCAAACCCTGCACCCCAGCATCCCACTGCCGGATATGCTGTCCTGTAGTCGCATTTCCTCCATCGAAGTATATTATTCCGTCAATCTGATCAATACTCCCCTTCAATCGACCTTGCTCGACCATCCTCGCCGCATAGTCCTCCGCCTTCTCCCCCGCCGTGAAGTCCCCGCTCCCTTGAAGCCCCAGGATCGCACCCAACGCATCAGTCGTAATATTTTCGTAGAGCTTGCTGGCCGCAACCAAATTGTGTTCAACAACAGCCTTATCAAGCACCGTAGACCCATCAGCCGTCACAGCCAACTGATGCGGCGCCAACCGCTGCGCGAACGCAGCCACCTCCTCTGGAGTCAGCAACCGATCCAGGAACATTTTCTCCAGGATAGCAAACTCATCCACCGACGTCGACCGATCATCCTTATACAACGTCGCGAGGATGCGAGACCGCTGCGGCCCGGCCGGAGCGAGCACCGCACACCGAATAGCAGCCGCCAAGGCCTGCAACCGATCCGCTTCATCCACTCCCGCCGCAAGACTAACATTGAAGTATTCCTGACTAGCATCGAGGAAGCGCCGGCGAGCATCCAATATACGAGCCTGGGATAGCTTGAAATGCAGCTTCAACTCATGATCCTCGATCTTACTCGGTAGGTTCTTGATGCGGTTCAAGAAAGCTTCCGCACTTGTGGTATCGTCTTCCTCGAGGTAGTATCTCACAATCCGGATCCATAGCCGCACCTTGGCTGCGTCGGAGACCAGGCGCTGCGAACTGTCGATGTGGATGCCCTGTAGGGCTTTTGCGGCGTCGGTGTACTGGCCTTCGGCTTCGTAAGCATCTGCGAGGAGCTCGCGGATCTGCGCGTCTTGTTCTTCGACAGAGGTGGATCGGGATTGGAGGAGGGTGATGGCGTGTTGGCCGACGCTGATTTGGGTTTCTTGGGTGAGTTTGCGGAGGACGGCGATGAAGGAGTCGAGGATGGGGCGGGCGGCGACGATGCTGATGTCTTCGCTGAGGACAGAGTCAAGAAAGTAAATCAGGTCTCTAGAAATCTGGGGTTCTGTGGACGTCGATACGATGTCGCTGAGGAGGTTGTTGTAGAGCTGCAGCTTGTTTTGGGGGTTCGCGGAGGATTCGATCTCCGCGAGGGCGGAGGTGATTTTTTGGGAGGCCATGAGTGGGTTGGTGAAGTGCTTAGAGGTTGACTGTGAGATTGATGTGAAATATGGCACTCGGAATGGGTAGGTAATTGTGGGTGGAAGTGGTGTTCTTGATGGGCAGAGGGGTCGATGAGGTGATGTACGTCAAGAACATGGCGTGGATGCCGATGAAGCAGAGGTGAAGCTGGGGGGGCTTATCGATAAGGGACTACAAGCACAGCACTCAATGCAGCACGTCTGTAGTAGAGAGTCGCAACGTAATTTGACTCTATACCTTGGGCAAAATACGGAGTATTCCTGTCTGATGCTTGAGCACTCCGTAATTCCATAGTATACTAAAACTACGTCTTGCACATCATCCCCAAGAAAGATATTCCTATTGACGGGATTCTCCGCCTCAGGAAAGAAATTATCAAGTATTGTGCGGGCTGAATTGAACGCTCGTTTCTAGTAGAATAAGCAGAAAATTCAAATAACCTCTAGATGAGTGTAAATGTTTAAACTCTAGACGAATCTAGCAGTGAGTGCAGCCTCGACGCTGAGACAGTATAATGAATGCAAGTGTGTTAATGTTTTCCTGCCGCCACCGCCTTTGGCGACCCGCTCGGGCGGCAGCTTTCTTGCTTGCGGCGACGCATCTTCCCCATTCAAAGCTTCAACATCGCGTACGTCACTGACGATTTCTCTGGAAGTCATCTAGACCCTTGATTTGTCGCTCATTTACGCCTCAGTTACGATCGCTCTGTTAGCTTCGGAAAGCTGGGCTACTCGTCAACCCTTTCTTCGCGCCAATATTAGGCTGTGTGGCGCCATGGTCCCCCAAGTCAAACAGGAGCCTGATTCCCAGACACCATACATCAAACCCGACCCATACATCAAACAGGATCCCGACAGCAAGGATACAGTACTCGCTGATATCGACGATGAAGATCTATATGAGGATGCGGGCGATCTAGACTTCTCGGCTGCGAACCAGAGCGTCTGGCTTTCACGGCTTCCCCGGTCACTATGGGAACATTGGGCGCATTTGTCAAACAGCGCCGGCGATGACGACGAGGAGATTCAGATTGGGACAATGAGGATTGAGGGTACACAGAATGATCTCAAACGGGTAGGTCTCTAAATGCGATGAACTTTGTCGAGGGACCTCGGTTTGTGTTACACACGGACTGACATTTGCGACCTTTTGCAGGTCAGTTTGCGCATAAACGCACGAGAAGACAATCGCGATATTCCTAAAGACTATCTACTGCAACGGCAAACGATAACCTCAGAGAATGTTTCGCACTTGACGCAAAATACGTACCTTTTCACGGAGAGGGACCTCCCGGGTCATGAGAATCGTATGGTGGTTTTTGGCGAGGCGCGTTCGGCGCTCTATGAGTCGATGAAGCGGGATATGAGGAAGAAGGAGCGCAAGAAGAAATGGGAGCCCTACGTCAGGAAAACGGTACCGAGTATGTACCATCTGTTACTGCGACAAAGGAGGTCTTGCTCACATTGTAATAGAACAAACGGCTTTGGTGGGGAGCGTGAGTGAAGAGTTCAACTGCCTTCCGGTTGAGAATGAGGAATTCCGGCGGCTGTCGGAGAAGAAGGCTCTGGAGGCACTCAAACCGAAGCGTGAGACTGTATTTATCGATAAGATTCCGGGCAAGATGCTCCAGCCGCGGAATGCATTGCCCGGAGAGAAGGGTGCTTTTGTGGTAAGTGTGCCTTTGCCGTCCTCATCAGTCCTATTTTACTTACCAAACACTTTTCATTCCAGCAAGCAACAAGGCCAGTCAAGCCCAAGGCCCAGGAGAACAAAACCACTCGTATGCCTCAAAACGAGCTGTTGGATCTTATCTATCAGTGCTTCAGGGAATACAAGTACTGGCCATTTAAGAACCTCAAGGCGAGACTGCGACAGCCTGAGGCTTATCTCAAACAAACTCTGGAAATGGTTGCGCATTTGGTTAAAGCCGGTGACTTTGCTATGACCTGGGAGCTGAAGCCCGAGGCGAGGGAAAGCAACTACGCCAATGCGATGTACAACGATGCTAAGGATGAACTCGCTCCGGGAGACTACAACTTCGAGGATGGCTCTGAAGAGGAAGCCACGCCTTCCGGTATGATGACAGATAATGACGAAGGACAGTTCGAGAACGTTGTCTAAGGATATAATTCCTATGTAGCATAAGGGCCATGGCGTTTCTTTGGGGTTTGGGCGATTTGATACAGGCTGTTTAGATAGTATATCATGAGCGCTTAGATGACAGGCCCGACATCTAACACGCATTTTCCAGAGCCAATATCGTCGGCTGAAATTGCAAATCATTGATTGTCTCTTTGTTCGAAGTAGAATCTCATGCCGTAGTCCTTGTAAGGCCATAGACAACGATGACATCCATACAAAGCGCAGCAACACGTGACCATCGGCCGCCACACACCGCGTTCGTCATTTCATCACCCGCCTCATCAACACAAGCTCATCACTTACAACTCAGCGGCGTCTGTCATTCAACTACACAGTATAAACGAGAGATTTTACTTTGAGTGACTTGCTAACGTGGCTTTTTGCCGCCTACTCAGGTTAAAATGACAGAAGATCAGGATCTGATGGCCAAAATCAGCCAGCTTGCTGGTAAGCGCATTCTAGCTATCCGTAACCGTGCCAGCCTCTAACCTCATCCAGGCCAGATTAATAGGCACAAAACCCAACAATCTCAACCTGAGTCCCCCTACAGTAGTGAAATAGCTCCAGGCCACCACGTCTCACGACATGTTCCTTACCGAGGTCGCGGGTGGGCGCCTTATCGTGGACGACACTACGCACGAGGACGTCATGTAGCTCCCCATCGCCACCGTACCCTCATCCTCAACAACGCAACATCAGGTACACCTGGATCGGCTACTCCAGCTGGCACGGGGACTGATACAGACGGTGAGGCGCGATCTGCAACACCAAACGAATGGGTTGTGAAACGCGATCGTCATATGCAGCTCATCAACACTTCGATATACGACAAAGAGACACAAGCGAGGACGAAGGCAATGGAGGAGAGTCGCCAGGCCAAGGCGCAAAAGAGAGCACAGGTCGAGCAGGCTAGAGTTTTGAATTACGCACAGGGTGTTGGCCGAGTGCATCCTACGGGCTTCGCGGCTCCTCAGGTGTCTACTGCAGACCCGTCAGCGGAGTATCAGGTTTTCGTCAACGATATACCGTTCCGAGTGTCGCGTGGTGGTGGCAAGCTAATCCGGGTGTCTGGTGCGTGCGCTGTAGATACTCTGGTCAAGCGAACTAGCTTACCGGTTATAGATAATCCGAATACTGCCAACGCTACGCCAAAACGAGTGACTGTGGCAGGCGTCGCTTTTGTCCGGAGCAAGAACGGAAATCTCCACCGTTTGGGTGCTGTTACATCAAAAAGGTGGCGGCTGTGTTGTCCATGTGGCGAGTTTGGAAGCTTACTTCATTTATAGAAAACCAATGACGGTCAAGAAGAAGAACGCGCTTTGCCAGCGATTTACTACGACGGGTACCAATGCTTTCCCTACACGAGGCCCTGAGTGGCACTTGCCCCCATCTCATTATTGTTTCATCTTCTGCGGGATCACGCTGATCAGGATCTTCAACCGTTTAGGCAGCTGCTACAAAGGACCAACATGCCCCTATATTCACGACCCGAACAAGGTTGCAATGTGCAAGGACTTCCTTCAGACTGGTCAATGCAATGCAGGTATAAGTTGTGATCTCTCTCACGAGCCTTCGCCCCACAGATCCCCTGCCTGCGTGCATTTTCTGCGAGGGCGCTGCTCCAACCCCGAATGTCGCTATGCCCATGTTCGCGTGACCCCGGGCGCTCCTGTGTGCAGGGACTTTGCGGTTCTAGGATACTGCGAAAAAGGTGCCGAATGCGACCAACGACACGTTCACGAATGCCCAGACTATGCGAATGAGGGCGTTTGCAACAAGAAGCGCTGCCGCCTTCCCCATGTTGATCGGGCCGGACAGATCAGGAAAAACGCCGCTTCGAAGACCGATGCTATGGCCCAAGCGGAGGAGTCTGATGCATCTAGCGAGGAGGAAGAGTACGATGAGATTGACACGGATGACGTCGATTCGGACGATCTCGATGAGGATGAGCCCCAACTCATCGCGGCCGAGTCAGATACTGGCGAGGTGTCGCAACAACAGGACTACATCCGTCTCTAAACATTCATACCCACTAACCTTACTACAGACTGTAATTGAAGTTGGCTTGGATTTACGGATACCCCAAACAGAGCAAGAAAAGGGCAATGGCAAAAGGAAAGAAATGCAAATAAATCAGAAAGAAAGAAACACAGAATAAGAGGGAAATATATCATTACATAGTGGCCAATTAATGCCTGCCTTGAAAGATTGATGCCTTACGGACTGTCGTGTTCCAGTCGCAGATGAAGATACCCATATGCGTTCAACATATTCTTTACTCGCAGACGGTGTGTATACGAGTCTGTTTGACGATCTTGGATAAATCCTAAGGGTTGGTAAGGGGTGACACTTGGAATTGTAGCGCTACATGATGACGTCGTGTCTTGAGACGTGAAGCCATAGGTAGCATACCAATGGAAATGAATATCATTTTTTTCTGTTTCTGTTTCTGTTTACTGTACCATGCTACATCCACTTACTTCCTTGCTGCAGACTTTGCTTCAGACTAGCCACACGTGCTGCCCAGGGTGAGTCCGGGGCGTCAGGCAGTACCCATCCCCCTGTGCCCTCACATGGCGACCCCAAGAGAGAGACAGAGGCAGACAGACGTGTGAGTCATACACCCCCAACGTGACAGGGAGTCAGGTCGAAGACGATCAAAAGCCGACGACCCCCACAGCGTGGATCCCCGTCCGATGCAATGCAATGCAAGCTAGCTCTTTAGTCTAGCGACTAACGGTGAAGATAACCAGCTAAGGGGAGGTACCTGGTCTCTGGCTGGTGCACTGCAAAATCCTAGCCATGTCAATGGCTGCTTTACCCATATGGTTCGCATGGACCAAGGCGAGCCACGCTGCTTTTTTCTCTCTTTCCCTTTCCGGGTTCCTCTTTCTGTCTTTCTACCTAACCCAACTCTTACTTACCGCGTGTTCCGGGATGGCACGGGCGTTCTTTGTGCCGGTTGGAGCGATCAGGGCCGGCCGGGAGGACGATGAGACGCGACACCCGCCATGCCATGCCATGGCTTGAACCGTGCTGATGCGGATGCGGACTGCGGACACCAACGAAAAGCTGCCAGCCAGGCTGTTAGTAGTTGAGTCTAAGCAAGTCGAGTTGAAACACCTGTCCTGGGGTCTTGTTTCATGTTTGTTAGTCCCGACTTTCCATTGCCTCGTGGCTTGCTATTACTACCCTGGCCGGGGGCCGGATGTCATGGCACCTATCATCAATCCTCCTACACACGTACAGACTACATACATGTACATATCTGTAAGCACAATATTTGCTCCGTCCCTACTACTACCGGCAGGGGGACCTTGCTTAGGCGATAATCAATAAATGCTCCTTGGAGGGTCTCAGTGGCACGATGTTTGTTCCGGGGTGAGGAGGGGAGGGGGCCTTAGCGACCTACCGCCACATGCCACAAGCCGTAGTCTATATGCATGGGGAACATACTCCCTACTCACTAACTAACTAGGTACTAGATGGACGACTAGGATGAAGGAATAAGGCAAAAGAAAAAGAAAAAAGAAGAAAAAAAAGGCGATCAGATCACGGACCGGTGCAGTCTGTGCCTGATGACAAGCATCACCGCCAATTGGCTTAGATGGACCAGTTGAGAGGGGAAGGGCCCAATGACCGCCATTCCTTCAACACCGATATTTTGCATCTTTAGTATCTAGTAAGTTAGTTACTTTGTATCTACCCGATGAGGTGCCCCTCGTTTAGCTTTCTGGGGAAGACGCAAGTGGAATCCGATAGGCAGAGTCTTCGAGAATGGTCGACGGGGTCCACTATGTTAATTTCGTTTGTTCCTTGATGGAGATACTGCAGTTGAGGACCGAACTGGAGATGATACCGCACATGATATTTACTATTTACTACTAGTCACTTAGTTACTTAGTAGTCGTGGTGTACAGTCGTCAACCAGGGCTCTTTTGTTCCTTTGGATGCCCAGCCCACTGCTGATTGGCGGAAAGCCGTAGATCAGGCCGGGAAACGTGACTTGGGGCGGTGTTTGTCGCTGCTGGAATTTGCTTTGTTTTGTTGGAACTGACTGACTTCCAACTACAACTCTGGTGCCTAGCAGTGAACTATTCCAATTCAGAGGAGTCGATGCTATTCTTACTATCCTATCCTATTTCCATGTCCAACTGCAAGTCACTTAGCACTCAGAATTACCTCATTTCATCGCTCTCCTCTACCGGCTTCGTAATGCAAACTACTAAATTTATACGATCAGCAGCCTCCGTTGGGCAACAATGGTATCATGCAACCGAGTCCGAGAAAGCCAATCTTCGAGAACGAGATTGATCGGCCCACTGACCCGAGAGCTCCCTTTATTCATTTATTTGAGTATGACAATACTCTCACAATTTATGCATCCTCTCTGAATAAGCCTATCGTCGTTGATCGTCCCTAAGCCATTGGCTTCTGAGCAGTGTGGTTTATGATTGTGGTAGAGCCACCAGCACGTCCAATCCGATACCTTGTAAGAGCGCAAAAAGTCACCTCGACCCATTGCTGACGGCCATTCCCTAGATAGCAGCCCGCATGCGCTGATTCTTCAAGAGGCGAAGTCTTAATTTCCGTTCAGTTAGCACCACTCCACCGGTCGCTTCTCTCGCCTCTTTCAATTGGACCCGTGGCTGGTGTACACCGCCAGAATGGCCACTCGGCATCGTCATCGCAAGACGAGCGATTACCCGGAATGGAGGTCGTCGCCAGTCACGGCAGGCCCGAGATGCTCCTCTCCTTGTCTGATGGCAAATTTCGAAATGAGAAATCAGATTTAGACTTGTCGGCTGCATTCACGTGTCTGTCTGCCGCTGACCACCACCATCCCTATCCCCCGGCCTGATCCTATCCAGGACCCCGGGTTGAATAACGGTCAGATTCCATACCCACCCAACTTTCCCTTCCACCCACACCTGCACACCGTACATGTTCGCCTCTCTGATGCAATTCCAAATCACCATGAGAATTCGCCTTAACCCAATGAGAAAAAAAATACATGAAAGAAAACTGCTTCTAGGTATTGTTTCAAGTTGTCTTTTTGGCTCGTATCCGATTGGGCTTGCTTCCCTTGTCTTTGTTGTTCACTGCTGATTTGCTTGTGAATCGATATCGGATGCAATCTGCTCCTTCGACCCCTTCACTTGGTGCATGAGATGATCTGAACACCGGCAAAGTTCATGCATTGCATCAGCAGTAGTAGCTGCTGCTGCTAGCAGGCATATGTAGGGCAAGTTAATTGCTTTTTTTCTGTCTTCTGTTGCATTTCACGTTCCACGCGATTGTCGCGAATAGCGGGCACCGCTGCTTGCGGCCCTGAGTATGACATGCTTACGAATGACTCTTGCTTTGCTCTCCATGCGTACCCGATAACAATGCACATCGGTAAGAATAGGAGTAGATACTGCGTAGATGAGATGATCGATACATTATGTCTCTTCCGTTCTTGATTATACGTACCACAAGTCAAATTGCCTATCTTCCTGTGAAACGTGGCATCAACTCTTACTACAATTGCTCCCTTATTTGACACTTAGGAGCTTCAGCTAAGCTTCAATCTCACCCAAACAACAGATAGTAAGGCTAAGGCTACGGAGTAGAAACCATCAACCCATGACATCAACACACATACAACCCCAACGGATCCTAATTCATCCACAACCTGAAACACCAAGTCATCAAGGGGGATGTCTGTCAAGCACGGATAGATATCCCAATCAGGAAATCATCTAGATTGGTAAGGCTTCGAGAAAAATTCGGAGGGGGGCCGGAAATGAATGAGTGAGTCACACACCCTCTCCCTCTCCCTCTGTTGCTCGCAAGCTACACTATGCAGCGCACATACCAACAAACCTCCGCCGGAGACGTCAGTACTAGATACACAGTAAGTAACCTGACCACCGAGTGGCCGGTGACGAATGTCCAAGCTTGCCGACTCAACTACGTACTATCTAATAAGTAGTATAGCGCAGTGGGTCTTGGATTCTTCTGGTCTGTTTCATCTTATCGATAGTAGACTAGCACAGAGTAGTAGTTGGAGAGTTGGCGGTAAGTGGACTTGCTACTTTTGTCCATGTGCATAAAATTTCGGGGACTTTGTTTATTCCATCATGGCGGTGGATCGTCGCAGGCATTGTCTGTATCGTTCTCAATACTATGCTTATTCACTGGCTCTTGATTTGATTGACTACATATGAAGGACTTCGGGGTATTGGGTTTCTCGAATCATGGGGGTCGGGACACGTTGGTTTGGGGAAACGAGGTAAATGCTGTGCTGCACTGGATGGTGCGGGTGTGGTGTGTGCTACTTAGTATCGGCCGAATTGGAGGGGAGGTTCTCGGACATCGTTTGTTGTTGCTGTTGTTCTTCACTGGTAGTAGTTATGATGCTATAGTGTTAGAGGATATGTATTGTAGCATCACTGCATTAAGCCAATCATAGAGGATGGGTAAGCAAATGCCTGCTAACTACTTACTCATTACTAACTAGGTCTATCCAGTTACCTACCTAGTAGTACCTACATGATTTGAAACAACAAAAGCCATATGGCAACACCCAAGCAGACAAAACAAGGCAAGGCAAGGCACACATAGCCAGCCAGCTACCTAGCGAACTAACTAAGGCAGACACCCCCCTCATCACATACCAATCTACCTCACCTTATCTGCAGAAAATCACAATTACACCAACAACAGCCTCACATCACATCGTAGCTCTCATTCAAACACTAGCTCGAGAGCTCGAGCTCGAGCTCTAGCTCTAGCTTCTGCTTCATGCCAAGCCAAGCACAGATAGGCCAAACCGCTTCTTGCCTTGGCCCATGGCCATATGCTTCAACCCAAACTCGCCCTGTCTCTGCATGAGAACCCAGATCGTGCGGTGCGCGCACAGCAAGGATCCGAGCGAGATGCGATGACATCGATTGGATTGGTTCCCCGCAGGGAAAGTCAAGAAAGGAAAGGAAGCACTGATGCCTTACCTGGGGTTAATTATTGGCAATTATTCTTGTTTTATTTCTTTTTGGTTTCTTTGGAGTATGAGTAGGTATTTAGTTGAGTAATTGGGAAGTAAAGTAAAGTACGGTAGATGACGAATTCTGTTAATAGTGATGGGGTCACAGGAGGAGGGACGGGATGGGAAGCGTTGATGCTAATTTAACGGAGTACTACGGCGTACTCTGTGTATCTTTCCTAATGGGGAAATTACCAAACATTAAGTTTTTTTCTTGTCCTTCCTTTCGGTCGATAGACACTGACTGACTGACTGACTGACTCCCATCTCGTGACTCTGGCCGTTGAGGTTACTTACTTAGTACTTAGGTAAGATGGTTACCTAAGGACAAGACCCGTAGGTGAGTGGATATGGCTAGCCTAGATAGAAAGTATCAACCGCCACACGAGAAAGAGAAAAGAAAGAAAAAAATGCAGGTGAACCGTCAAAAGTGGATTAAGCTCCATAGGTGTGGTGGTGCTTATACCAAAAGAGGTAAATTAACTGACTACTACCTGCCTGACTAGTGAAGCACAGTGGAGGTGGGTAGGTAAGTCACTGACTTGCTTACTTACAGAGTACAGTGACTAAGGACTAAAAGAGGGCGGCATCAACGCCAAAAAGAAAAGCAAAGAAAAAAGCCCGGCAGCAATCATCCCCAAAAAGAGAACAAATCAATCAAAAAGTAGATTTTACTAAACCTGATCAATATCTGACTCGAGGCCAGCCAGTCCAAGATGAAATCCGATGAGAGTGTCCGTGCTTTGTTTCTGCATCTGAGTTGCAGCTTCCGTGCGGTATGTGCATTTCAGTATCTGTCATGGAATTGGTTCGAAAAGCACGGGCGGGCGCGCGGGTGTGTGAGTGTGTGTCGCAACAGAACGGGTGTGCATGCGATGCGCGCGCGCCGATTGAAGGGGCCGCGCGGGCAGGTGAAGACCCAGTCTAACCGAAATGGCAAAAGGGGCCTTTGTTTTGTTTTTGTCTTGTCCACCCATGGATTTACTGGCGGGCTTTGTTTCTTTGTGGTGGTGGATGTGGATCACTCTCTGGATGGATGGATGGATCTCGTTCTACGGGCCGGCCCTACCGGTACCAAAGATGAATTCGTTGTGGTTTTCTAGGTTCTCTGTCTAGGTGTTATGGAGGGGAAGAGCAAAATACAAACATGTGTTTAGGATAATGATGGATAATAATGATAGCAAGCGAGAGAGAAAGCAAGCAAACATCTAGGCTTGGGAGAGGTTGCTGTCACGGGCATATCTCACCAACAATAAGGATCACGATAAGAACGAGGCTTCAATGAAGGATGCGATGCTAGCCCATCGGATCATTCTCTCCTCTAAGCCGGTCTTAGTAGGAAACACTCCGTACTTCTTCATCAGGAATAACAGCCTGATCCAGCCCCAGGAGCTTTTGTTCCCAGCGCTCTGGCGTGCAAAGCTGATGATCACAATGGAAATAGTTTCCTCTTGGCCCATGAGGGATGTCGCACTGTCGCGCGCGCGAATGATTGGTCTTGCTCCCACTGAGGGCTGATGGGCGATACGCTGCTCTCAGGTTAGGGAATGTCCGGGGGTGTGGGATGGGGGGTGGTGGTGTTCCGTATGTATTGTATGACATCGAGTCCATCTGATCCCAAGCCCTCCCTCCCTTCCTCCCACCGGAAGGGAAAAAAGTATGAGGGGGAGGGAGGGGTTATGGCCTCATCGTCTGGTATCCTTGGTATCGTCCTGTAACTCACGATTCGCCCTATCCTAGGGGTCGATCATGGGATGGATGCACACTGACTGAGCGCACAGACGATCTCCTCTTTTGGGCATCATCTTTCCCAAATCCAAAACACCGAGGAGCCGAGAGAGTCCCCATCCTCCCCAGGTCCTGGTAGGATGGATGGGCCTGTTGTTCAGGTACCTACCCACCTACATGATGTACGTACATTGTGGGATCATCATCGAACCTGAGGATGAGGAGGGAGGGGGGGTTGAGTTGTGGTGTGGTGTGTGCTTGAAACCAACCCAGTGTGCTGGACCTCAGGTACCAATCAATCGTTTTGCGTTCCCGGATGTGATTACTGTAGGAAGGGATAGGAAAGGGAACCGCATGCCTGAGTTCGGGCTGCTACGGGATAAGCGACTGGCAGAGAGAGGCAGACACACAGAAAGACACAGAGACGGACAAGCACATGGATTAACGGAAGTTTCGACTGTATCGGATGGAGGGGTCGTACTGTCAGGAATGATCGAATCGATAGGCTCTCGATATCCGATTTGTGGCCCCACCCGTAATACTAACCATGGTTCTGATACCGACTACTCTGCACCCACTACGGAGTACTACTTAGACATCTAACTATATTAGCATGGAAACTTATGGTCCCTACCGCTACGGACTTACTTAGTACGACTCCGGTCTCTAACCCACTTCCTACCCGGAGACCGGCACTCACTGGGAAGGGTAGTATCTACGAGAATGTTTGTTCCAAAAGGAACAAAGGTCCCAGTTGAGAACTTATCCGAGCGGCAATCCATCGGTCCGGATGATTAACTGATGTTGGTATTCCAAAAGTCAAATAGTTAAGGTTAGCTGAGACAGGCAACGGCATATAGCCGCCGTTGTTATTGACGGGCGATGGCTCTTTGTCGATATTGTTGGTTAGGTTTGGCGGTTAGGGTTGATTATTCTTATGTTCTAAATATGCGACAGTTGGGGGGCAGATCCCACCGAATTCCTTCGGCCTATCATCTATCACATCCTGCACTATGTATGAGTCGCGTCTAGCGAAAAGCATACTTAGTTACTAAGGTCGGTAGGTATCTCCTACTTGATAGTTTCTACTGACTGCTGCTAGATGGCTTAGGTAGTAAATAGTAAGTAAATTCTCACGGATAATGGTGGTACTCTCCCGATGTAATTGGGAACTGAAATGAAAAAAGTTAGGCCTACAATAAAGTACTACAGTAAGTAGATAGTAGACTACTTACCGGCAAGGCGATCATCGGATTTCTTCCAGGGCAGCAACAATCTCGCTAGTTAGCCTCCTTAGTTCGTTCATTAGTACCTACATTTGACGATGTGAATAACCTCAACCTTTACCAACCTAGGGGATAGGATCAATCATCATGGGTACTACACGAGAAGCGTCACGATCATGATTCGTCTCTAGTCAAAAGCACTGGGCGAGTAACCAGCCAGGAACGATGATTATTCATCCACCCTTCTCGTCCCAAAGGTTCCCCTGCCAGCTGCACGTCTGCCCAACGAAGCATCCAATGATCGCTCCTCGTTAATCTCGGGAGCAGTCAGAAATGTCGCCTCGTCTTTTGACTTTTCCGCTGACCGCCGGATGCTCGTTGGGTGGTTTTTGGGTGCGGCCGATTAGTGAGCGAGAGTGCGAGCGATGGGTCTGTGGTCTGTGGTCTACCTACTACTTTGTTTAGGGCCGATGGAGATGGGAGAGAAGACGGCCGTGGGAAAATAATGGGCACGGGATTTAGGTGGGATTTTTGGTTTTAGTTTTTTTTTTGGGGGGTTTTTTTTTCTTGGGCTCACTCACTGCTTCTCTTCCTTTTCCCTTTTCTTGTTATTTTTGTTTATTTTTTTTTTTTTTTTTTTTTTTTTTTTTTTTTTTTTTTTTTTTTTTTTTTTTTTCTTTTTTTTTTTTTTTTTTTTTTTTTTTTTTTCTTCCCTTGTTTTTTCTAGTGTCTTTTTTTTTGTTCCCCCCCATGATTGCCGCTGTTGGTCTGTCTGTAGGTTATGGGTCAGGTCCCAGTGAGAAAGTATGGTTATGATTATAGTTAGTGATTTTATTTTTATTCGCATTTTTTTTCTTGGGATTTTATTCTGAATATTATTATTTTCTCTTTATTTTATTTTTAATTTCTGGGTAAAAAAAATATTCACTCATCCTAAGTTTTTCGTGCTGGGTCGAAAAGCAGTCTTACTATTCTGAACTTGGTCAGGGACTCCCTCATCGCATGTTTCCTGATTCAGCCCCGAAGGATATATGGACTCCCCCTCCCGCTTGTCACTTGCTCTTGTCCTCCATCACAATCAATCAATATACTGAACTTCAAACTCTCTACGCGAGAGGTTTCTGTCTGATCACAAGAGACCTCGATTTTACCTTTACCCCCCTCCTCCATATTATACTTATTCCGCTTCTTTTCCTCCCCTACTCCTCTTCTGCCTCCACTTCGCTAGTTACTCTACTACACCTTGACCACCACCCGATCGATCTACTTCTCTTCTCACCTTATCCTATTTTTACACTCCCCATTCCTCCTCCCTTGAGACTTTTTCGAGAATCTACTCTCTCGTTTTTCTTCTCACGGGTTATATCTTCAATCCTCCCATTCTGCACACTTGAGACTTCTAAATACTCTCACCAACCACCCCAAAACCCCGCACCTCTTGACCTGTTTTTTTTCCCGAACCTCTATTTTACACACCGCCTCTTGACTGCTCTACAAGCACCACAGGCTTTTTTCCTTGATCAAAGCCACCTTTTTTCATCTTTATCTTCGTCATATACACATTCACAGTTATGGCAAGGTATTCTCAACAATCCTTTGACTTCTACCAACAATCCCCCTCTACATTGGATGCCAAACCGTCATATTCAGAAGAAGACGACATGAGTGTACTTGATGATAAGATCCTCGATTCTACTTCCCCCGAACTTCCTTCCACTGTTGCCGACCACCGGAGAACCTCATATGACCATGCACCCGATGCATTTGCGCATCGAGATTCCGTCTGGTCTGATTTCTCCCAATCCGTTTCTAGCACACAGTCCCGTCACAACTCCCAAGTCGGCCACGCTTTCTTTGAAACCGCCCCCAATCCTTTTATGCGGGTAGACGGCGCTCATCCATCCGCTCCATACGGCCACCAGGCTTCCTGGCAGCTTGCAAAGGAATCGGGCTCCTGCACTCCTACCGCCATGTACGATCACTTTCCCTCCGAGTTGGATCACGCTTCGTCAGCCCCCTTTGCTGGCGGTGCCGTCGGTCCTGTCAGCACCATCAACATCCCTTCTATGTCCTACCGTCCCGGCATGGCCTTCGCGCACCCTGCCACTGTGGCTATGTCGCCGCAGTCCAATCAGGGCTGGATGCCCGCTGCAACGGATCTGCCTGATGCCATGTCGCGGCCAACCAAGAGCCCGACCTACCGCAACAGTTCCCCCTTGAGTGTGCGCCGGGATGGGATCCGGAAGAAGAACGCTCGCTTTGAGATTCCTGCAGAACGGACGTTGAGCAACATCGACCAGCTGATCAGCCAGTCGACCAATGAGGAGGAGATCAAAGAACTCAAACAGCAGAAGCGGCTGCTGAGGAACCGTCAAGCTGCGTAAGTACCCACTGCCTTCCTCCTCCCCCCTTACATGGATGACATCAGCCCATATCTAACCTTGTCCTCTAGTTTGGATTCCCGTCAGCGCAAGAAGCTCCACACCGAGAAATTGGAAGAGGAGAAGAAGCAGTTCACCCAGGTCATCAGCGACCTCGAGGAAGAACTGCAGAACATGCGCCTACGGGAGGCCGAACTCCTTCGCGAGAAGAGCGAATGGATGGCCGCCCAGCAGGAAATCACCCAATACATCAACACCATGCACATGGAGAAGGATGAATTGATCCGGGTGCACACCTTGGAGTCTGCTGATCTTCGAAAGAAGAACAACATCCTCAAGGAGACCGTGGAGAAGCTTGAGAGACACGCACGAACCGCCGCCCCTGCGATGACCACCGAGTTCTCGGACTTCGAGAACTTGACCATGGACAGCAGTCCTTGGGAAGACTTTACTATGGTGAACAGCCTCTCCCTTGACGCTGAGTCTGTTCCCACTTCGACGGCACACTCTTCCTCGTTGGTGGTCTCCACGAACGACAAGGAGAAGTCTGCGACCAGCGACTACCCCTTCAGCTGGAACGCCTTTTACATGTGCCTTCTGTTTGGAGCATTCATTGCCTCCAACAGCTCTACGCTGTCGGCTCGCTCCATGCCTCAGCTCTCGGAGGAGTATCGCGCCGAGTCCGCGAATGTCCTCCGGGCTGTACTGTCTTCCTCTCCGCCTGAGCTTGCTCAGGGCCAAGGCGCTGTGGCCTCCTCGTCGGCCATGCCCATGCCTACCACCATCACTGGAGCCGAGATGGCTCAGATGACCGGCACAGCGGCACCGTCGAACTTGGATGAACTCCACAACACTCTGGCCATGCCCTCCAAGCAGCAGGAAC